TGGTAAGGATATGCAGGGGGAAAATTAGAAGGGCCAAGGCTCAAGCTGAGCTCATCTTGGCCACTAAAGTAAACAATAACAAAAAGAGTTTATTTTCGGTATGTAAACAGTAAGAGAAAGATTAGGGATAATGTTGGTGGGTACCCTAGTAGTGGAAGACACAGAGAAAGCAGAGTTGCTGAATGCCTTCTTCCGAGACCGAGAGAGCTGGGACTCTTTAGTCTGGAGAAGAGAAGGCTGAGGGGAGACCTTATCAATGCCGACAAGTATCTGAAGGGTGGGTTGAAGGAGGAGGGAGCCAGACTCTTTTCAGTGGTTCCCAGTGAGAGGATGAGGGGCAACGGGCACAAGTTGGAACATAAGAGGTTCCACTCAAATATGAGGAGAAACTTCTTCACAGTGAGGGTGACGGAGCCCTGGAACAGGCTGCCCAGGGAGGGTGTGGAGTCCCCTTCTTTGGAGATTTTCAAGACCCGCCTGGATGCTCCTGAGTAACATGCTCTGACAAGCTCTAGGCAATCCTGCTTTAGCAGGGGAGTTGGACTAGATGATCTCTATGGTCCCTTCCAACTCTAAAATTCAGTGAAATTCAGTGAAATTCAGTGAAACAGGGCAAATGACGAAATGGGCTGACCTTGGCTATTACAGCAATAAATATAAGCAAGAGCCTCTCTGCACACCATTCCTTGGCATGAGCTATAATCACTGGCCTTATCACTCTGAGAATGAACAGCTTTCTGCACAATATGCTGTTAATTTCAGAGAGTTAGAAGAGGCCTACATAAGAAGTAAAATTTCTGAATAGAAAACGAGTTCTGTTCTACCTCTCTGTTCTACCACCCACAGTACAAGAAGATGAGGTTTGTGACCTCTTAAGGAACCTGAAGGTGCATAAGTCCATGGGACCTGGTGAAATCCATCCACGGGTCCTAAGAGAGCTGGCAGATGAAGTTGCTAAGCTCCTCTCCATCATATTTGAGAAATCGTGGCAGTCTGGTGAAGTTCCCACTGATTGGAAAAAAGGGAACATAACTCCAATATTCAAAAAAGGAAACAAAGAAGACCCGGGGTGTGGGAGACTGGCGAGCTGAGAAGGGTCAGCTAGTCCAGCAAGAGCTCAATAAGCACCGTACTCAGCTTATCTGGCTCCCAATAACTGCAAGGCCTTGAAGTTGTTCTGGCCTTGAAGGCAGCTGTGGTCCAACAACAGAATGTCTGTGATAAGGTAAACATGTAACCGTAAGAAAGGAATTTTGGGCGGAACTGTCTTTTTAGAACTAACCAATAATGAGCTCTCATTTTGCAATATGTATGAGCTAATTATGTGTGTGCATAAAAGAATGGTAGTGTGTCTAAATAAACGAAGCTTGCTGATCACTCATATTGAGTGCTCATGTCTTCCCTCCGTCGCAACAGTACTGGTCCCAATACCGACCCCTGCGGAACACCGCTCATTACTGGCCGCCACCTGGACATTGAGCCGTTGACTGCCAGCCTTTGGGTGCGGCCGTCCAGCCAGCTCCTTATCCATCCTTCTCCTCCTCCTGGTGCTCCTGCCAGCCCAAGAGGCCTGGGCTACTCTGTGGAGCGCGCGGCGATTAGGTAGGTGGGCAGGCCATCCCTCAGTCGTGGCAGCGTGGCGCAGCACCCACTGCACCTCGGGGTGGCCGTGGGGCTGGGGTCACGGTGGGGCAGGGCCAGGAGAGCGGCGGAGCCGGGTGAGCCGTGGCCAGCTCTGCGGGTACCAGGAGGCAGATG